TTTGAAGCAGACTGGACAGCTTCCTCAAGCTGGCGTTATCACTCCCTCTAACCACTCTTGGCAGGCAATCTAATTCCCCCTGAAAAGGTCACCGCCATTTTAACTGCCTTTCAATCACATTAAGCACGCTGCCGCTCGTGCTCAGAGCACTGCGCCTGCAGCTCTCCTGACTGAGGTGCGATCGATAAACTGACATCCCGTCCCCCCACCCGATCTCCCCAACCGCCCCATCCGCCGCTCGCCTCCTTCCCCTCTCCTGGACAAGCCGCCTTCCCAGAATGGACGGCGAGAGACCAAGTGACAAAAACCTCTCCTCAAATGTGAAGCAGCAGAAGGGAGCCGCTAACCTGGCATTTACTAATCTTTGTCCCATCTGCTAAGAAACAGAAGGGTGCAAGCATCCCCCCCTCCTTCCCTAGACCTACAGAGGCAGCGACTTCACAGGACAGTTTGCTTAGGCACCGGTCCAGACACCTTTGAAGCTGTGTTACAAAGAACAAGCCTCCCTCAAGCTTCCCTCAATGCAATCATTACCGTTATCTCTCACCCCGTGCTGCTTTTTTTTTTTTGCAGTTACGAGTTATGTGTTCCACCCATCGATCCCTGTGTAAGACACTGTTTTAAGTCCTCTTGCCTTTTGACTGTGCTAAGCCGTTTAAGAGATGACAGCGGCTTCTATCAGTGCAAAGCTGATGCGATTCTTTCCAGATAAAGCACTTTTTTTTCACTCCCCCCCTCCCTTTCCCTTCTTTCAAGTAAGAGACATACACACAAAAAAAGACACTGAATCTTTCAAAGAAAAAAAACCCTTTTGAACTTCCCTCAGGAATTCTTTAAAGGGATAACCTTACAGTGTAAACACTGAGGGTAACGTGCATCTATTCTGGAGAGGGAACAGAAGAATTGCTACAAATATGTTGAGCGTTAAAAAAAAGCCATCAGAGAGGGAGCCACTTGATGCTTTCACTTGCAAAGCCTTGTTGGCTTCCTAAACACAGAAACTCATTAGACAAAGATGGCATGAAATAATCCCCTGCACAAAGAGCTTCGGAGAGGGATGATCCAGAGACGTGGGGATAGATGGTTACTGAACGTTCAGGTATTTAAAGAAATTTTAGTCTTGCGACACTGTTCTAAGACAGGGAAATATTTGATTTTACATCTGTATAGCTTTTCACTTTGAAGCACGAGCTTGACCTAAACAGCGCTTGGTATTTCATGCTGGCAGCCTTCTGTACCCATCCCAAACAGAAGCAAGAACTCTCCTACTACAAACCCCTACTTCAAGCAGGACCTCTGCTGAAGCAAAGTGGTTCCAAATCCTATATAATTGCCAATAATCTTAATTTACATCCTGCAGTTTTGGGTAAGCAAATTAAGCAATAGCAAATGATGCTTTAAGAAGCCAGGAGGACAGCTAGAAGTACAAAATATTTCCTGACTGAATGCCTTCACCAAACCCAACAGCTTAAGGGACAACATACTGATCCCAGCACTTCCGATTTATGTCATATTCCTACTTGCTGCCATCTCCTGTTCTCTCCACCTGCTGCCTCAAGTATGCCAAGCTGTTGTGGGCAAGAAGCTGTGCTTTGGCTCTGCTGCACTAGACCCGACCGGGGATTTGCAGCTGCAACACCAACACAGAAGACAGAATTTCCACCTTGTAAGACAGCCCCTCAGGTGAGAGAGGCAAGTTTTCCCTGCAACCCCTTTGCACGAAAACCTGATCCTAGGAACCACACAAGTGAGTTTCAGCCTGTGATTGCTCCCAAGTATTAGACCACCTTCCAGACAACCTGAGCAGGGCTGTTCGTTTCCCTGACTTTTCTCTTTTCAAGAAGAAAAACCCCAGGATCTCCCAACCTTCCCCCACCTGAGAACCTGGCAGGATCTTTCATGTAATTAGCAAAGAGTTTTCCTCACCTTGAGAGTGATAAGAGCTTTGTTCATTAACCAAAAATGATAAAAAGAAGCCAGGACCCATGTTAAGTTTGTGTTACTTCTGTAATGCTGCCCAATGGTCTGACCGACTCATGCAATACACACGGGCCACAGTGTCCTGCTCCCCCTTTGGTCAGCTGTGACACCTCCTCAAAGCAACATACCATTAAAACTGAAACTAATGAGACACACGGACATCTATTTCCCCCTCCAGTTTTATGTATTTCTCCATGTCATCTCTTTAGACACTGGTGACATCCCTGTAGCCTGGCAAAGGCTGTCTGGCATTATAAAAGGCCTTTGGTTTCCACATTGCTGCTACTTCTCAGCAAAGGGAACAGAGCCAAACACAAAGCCTCCGGTGACGGGGGTTAACAAGGGCCTTGCCAACTCCAGACAAAGCAGTTTCAAGCATTAGAAAGCATCTCCAAAACGTTGTGCTGTGCTTCAGGGCTGTAAATTAAGAATTCTGTCCCTAAAACAAGGCAAGAGCTAACACTGTCAGAGAAAGGAAAGGGACAATCACCTTAAGGTTACCTGCAAGGGCACAAAGCAGGCCTGACTGATGGAGACCTCTGAATGCCAGCAGCCAGAGACAATACGAGAACCACAAAAGGGAGCATGAAAAAGTATAACTTGCTTAAAAAGAAATGCAATCAGCCAACTATGGGAGATCATTCCAGCTTTGCTTTGGCTTCCCAAATTACAGAAGCTTCTTGCACAGAGCAGGTGGGTACCCTGCAGATATTATCTGGTCATCCCAAAATACTAGGTAGAAAGTTGGTGGCAAAAAGTTCCCCTGTTTAGGGAAGAGGACACCTCTCTAGAGAAGCATGGCAGCCATTGAATCCAGCTGCCAGCAGAGGTGTGCTCCAGAGGAGGAAGGGCAGGGAGAAACGCGTGCGCTAGGGACCTGCCAGCCGCTCAGGTGGAGTCATTTCTTCAGCAGTGCCTCTGCCACCAAAAGCTGCACAGAGAGGATGCTCCTCAGTACAAATGCTACACGGAGGTTCCTGTGCTTGTGAGCTGATCTATGGACACCTTTCATCCAGCACCACAAAGGGAAGGAGTCTAATCCAAAAGCCTTCCCGTCAGGATAATTACGGAGAGTTTTAGAACTGCATCTAGTTGTGCTCTACTATTCTCCTAGCCTTCTGATCCTTTGCTGGATCTGTTCATGTAACTAAACACTCTTGAAGGTGTCATGAAGGTCTCAAAAAGGAAAGAAGAGACGGACCCCATACTTTCTGATGGAAGCAAGGCTATTTCTAAGTATGAAATACAGAAGTACCTGCCCATGCGTGTGCAGCCATCTAGCAGAGGTTACAGCCCTGACTTTTGCTAGAATCTGTCTAAACTCTGGTGGAGGAAAGCAGTTGATCTATGTAACGCAAACTAACGCATTTGAGAATTCCTTAAAATAAGGAAGAAAATGCAACAAGGAGCAAGTACTTTGCATTTACACAGCCTAACCACATCAATTACACACATTTTGTCCACCTGAAGCCTCACTCAAAAACGGGTCTCCACATGACTGAAGCAATATGAAAGGTTCAGATCACACTTCAGTGAGTTAACTCAAGAACAACCGGGAACGTTAACCAGGTGAAGACAGCACAATGTCCACACCAAAGGAAGCTGAAGATTGTGCTCTCCTCAAACTCAGGTGTTTGGTGCGGGTGAAGCAAGAAACTACGCATGCACAAAAAAGGGCAGAAGTGAACTGAGTAGCTTTTTCCAATCAGGACTAGCAGTGACAACAATAGAGGCACACAGACATCCCATGCTTCCCCGCTAAGGATTGTAGTAACTATACTACATAAACATAGTCTAAGGCCCTGCATGATCTCATCAGACCTCTACCTGGAATCATGTACAGACTCAACTCTCTATGTGGGCACAAAAGAAGTTAAGGTAGGTAAGGCTACAGACACAGGAAGCGACAGTGTGAGCTTTACTGGGTAGCCTTTAAAACCGAAAGAAGCTGCTTCTTCACCTCTGCTCCTGGTCATCCGCTCTGCTACAACCCAGCTACAATTTAATTTCAGAGGAAGGTAAGAGCAGATCAGGAGTGCCAGGTTGTCAGTGAGCACACGGCTGGCTTTTAAGTCCAAATCCCTTACGTAGTAGCCTTTCCCCTTGAGATATTTTAAATTAAAATCCAAGCTGATATAGGAAGAGATCACATCCCATCCTCTTTATTGAACAGAGGGAGCCAGCGTTCCTCCTCTCATTAGGCATGTGCTACGTGGATTGCTTGCGAGAGACTCTCCTTAGTGCCAGAGGTTCATGCCAACGAACAGTTTAGTAAATCCTCCTCTTTGAGGCCAAAGGGCTGAGTGTAAGAAAGGGGCCAGGTTTCCAGCTAAAATTACATTCACCAATAAAGCTCACGAGAGGTCAAATTTTGCCATAACTCACTCTCTCCTCAGTAACTGATTTCCCCGTCACTGGGGAAGGAGCAAAAGAAGGAGGAAAAATAAAATGTGTTTGTCTGGGAGCCCTAAGGGCTTGCAGTGCTGGAGGTGCAGAGCAGGTTCCTGGATTCTCATTTATCAACCTTAAAAGGGATGGAGTGATAAATGCACAACCGGCCCTTTAATATTTTATGCAGGTGCTAAAGCGACTTAGCTGTCACCTTCAATACATCACCAGAGGCTGATACACCAGCTTTCGTCACTCCAGGCTGGGAATTTTTACAATTTCATTTCTATTTCCCTCTCTTCACATATTTCCACGTATTTCTTACTATGTGTAACATATAAAAAGCTATTTTTCCCAAATGATCTCCCCATTCTACCCGTTCCTACTCATTCCCTCTTCAGCCACATTTCTCGAACAAGAAATAACGCCGTGCTTTTGTTCCAAGATTTGCACAAATTTTGACTCTCATCATTCAGGAGAAGCAGAAAGCTGAAATCACTTTACATTCTGGCAACGGCTGAAGATCCCGCCCTTGGTGAAAGGCAAATCTCTAGGTCCCTCCCTTTAAAGACAGACAATAATCAACTTCCACAGCAGAATGATTTACAAGGGCCCCCAAAACACTGGCGCACCTCGAAATCCTCCCTCCAGGAGAGTAGTGGCCCGTATCCTCTTCTGCCCGCACCATTCGTACTCTTCAAAGCGGTTGCCATTCTCGTTCTCGATGTCCACAGAGTCATCCTCAGTCATGCATGAACCTTCTCTCTGCACAGGGTAAAGCAGGGGCAGAGCGTTGAGATGCATGAAATAGCTCTTTGGGGTTAATAACTCAGGGTGGGATGGAGAAGAAAAGCTGGACTGTTCCCAGGACAGCTAAGTATAGAGCAGACAGCAGCATCTACTCCCGCCCCCATTCCCAGTGACCTAGAAGTAAATGGGTGCTGGAAGAACTTGACAACCTTAAGATCAAAACGAGTTGCAAGGTTCATAATTTTTACATACGGAAATTTAAGCTCTGGTTCCTACAACAATGCTGGTGTGCATTTCAACATGCATTCCCCTACCTTGCATGCACAATTCCCCTATCATGTAAGCCACAGATT